CCCCCCCCCCCCCCCCCCCCCCCCCGTCCAGTCCCGTCCTCTCCTGAGAGCCCCGCAGCCAGGACGGACACCCGTCAGCGCCGGCACAGGGAAGCTAAACATGGGAGACGCCACGATCCTGTAACGATATGTTTTAACTTTTGGCGCCCAGTAATTTTCCACCGCCATTCTGGTTTTCTGATTTCTATTTGCCACTTGAGGCCGAGGTTTTCTTGTGCGGCTGTTTGCTGCCTGGCACTGACCCGAAGCCATTACTGTTATGTTCTTCGCGCTCTGAAGTAAACTGTGCTGACTTGGACCATACTAAAAGTTTGTGATGGGCTGGAGAGATGGCTCAGCGGTTAAGAGCATTGCCTGTTCTTCCATAGGTCCTGAGTTCAATTCCCAACAACCACATGGTGGCTCACAACCATCTGTAATGAGGTCTGGTGTCCCCTTTTGACCTTCAGGCATACACACAGACAGAATATTGTATATTTGAAATAAATATTTAAAAAAATAAAAGTTTGTGATACAAAATCTGAGGGGAAAGAAAAAAAAACAAACCCACAAACCAAAAACCAAACAAACAAAAAAGGGAGTCGTCCCTTGGGCCTTGGGGCTGGAGCTTCAGACAGTTCTGGGAACTGAACCCAGGTTTTCTGCAAGAGCAGCAAGTGGCCCTAACCTCCAGCTCTCTCCAGCCCCCAGGCTTCCTTTCCCGAGGGAGGACAGCTGTGTTTTACCTAACCCCACCATAGAACTAGCAGTTTTTTTTTTAAAGTGGGTCCTGGTTCCATTTCATGGGGTACCAGCCACATTCTGAATGAGGCTGTTGCTATGTGTGTTACTTTAGCCCCTCTCAGGATTGCCCTCCGCAGCTTTCACTCTGGCTGAATTCTGTAGGCATCACCTTCCTTGGCTCATTTTCTCTTCCGACTTGCTCCCTGAATACTCCGAGAGCCTCTTAAATGTGATGTCATTTCAAGGGTCCTGTGAAGCATTGGGTTCATACTGTACATCACGACTAATGCTTAAACACAGGTTGCTTGTGTTTTCCTCTCTTGCTTTCCGGGTAACTTTGTTATTTAACTGAAACAGTCCACTGTTCTGTCCTGTAGGCAGTTAAGTCCTCACAGCAAGGGAGTGCAGTGATGGCAAAGGTAATCAACACCCTTGACTGTGGAAAAAATGGGGGGGGGTAGGAGGGAGGGATGAAAGAAGGTAGGATGTCCTCAGTTCATGAAACACATTGATTTGCATGCTGTTTTCAATCAGAATGGATAAAGGAAGTACAGAGAAGGCTTCTGAGGTAGTAGGCATGGTCTCTAAAGTCAGTTGGGAAAGATGACTGTTGGACTCTACATGACAGTCTGAGGAGATGAAGGAAGTGATGTGCTGGAGTTATTTTTTGCATTTCTTCTTCAAAAATTATAAATTTGAAATCACATCTTTTTTTTTTGTCTTTTGTCATACCACGTTTCATGTTACATAAGGGCAGGGACACTGTTATTTTCCTAGTGACTGTTAACGTATTTGTGGAGTGGATCTTCATTCAGTGTTAGAAACCAGGCATTTCCACCCTGCCTCTTCTCCATGGGGACCCTCCACGTGCCCCCCATCTCACTTGCATCTTTTCTCATCTGTTTCCCCAGAGCAGCCCAAGGTGACCGTCTACCTGTCCAGGAAGGGGGTCCTCAACCACCACAACACGCTGGTCTGCTCGGTGACAGATTTCTACCCGGCCCAGATCAAAGTGCGCTGGTTCCGGAATGGCCAGGAGGAGACGGTGGGGGTCGTGTCCACGAAGCTTATTAAGAATGGGGACTGGACCTACCAGATCCTGGTCATGCTGGAGATGACCCCTCAGCGGGGAGACGTCTACACCTGCCACGTGGAGCACCGCAGTCTTCAGAGCCCTGTCGCTGTAGAGTGGAGTAAGGGAATTTCTTTTCTTTCACTGTGGGCTCCACGTGACATGGGCTCTTTGCTGTTATCATCCCATCCCTGTGATGACATCACCCCATCCCTCCAGTGCCACCCATCCTGTCACTTGTCCTGCAAAGTCTGATTCCACTACTGAGCCAAGAACTACAGGACACAAGATATTTTTTCTCATAGTAAGGGCATCAGGAGAACCCTGACCTCATTGTCTTTCCCAACAGTAGTTCTGGGAGATCACTGCATACAGTGGGAACTCGTCCCTAACATCCAGAGGAATCAGCAGTGATAGTGCCTGGGTGTTTGGGCCTGAGATTATAAATGTTTTTAGGTGCAAACAGCTCTCAGCGCTGTGCTGGCCACCCCTGCCCCTTCCTCCCCTCAGTGCTGAGTTCTAGATCTCTCTTCTGTCCCTTCCTTGCCCTGGATAGGGTCAGAGCAGAGACCGGGTCCTCCCAGCTCCTTCACCTCTTACAACTCAGGCAGACTTTAGGTTCTCAGTCAGGGCTGTTGGGATGTGTGGGGACAAAGCTGACACCCAGGCTCTGCTCCCCAGGGGCACAGTCTGAGTCTGCCCAGAGCAAGATGCTGAGCGGCATTGGGGGCTTTGTGCTGGGGCTCATCTTCCTCGGGCTGGGCCTTTTCGTCCGTCACAGAAATCAGAAAGGTGAGGACCCTGGGGGAAACTGGGGATGGTAGTGGGCTGTGCTGAGGGGAGGAGCTGAGTTGGGAGGACACAGGAGACCCTGGGGGAGATACTGGAATTAGATTTTACTGGTTGTGTGACTGTACCATAGAGTTGTGGTGGAGTTCATCTTGGGGCTTCCATCATTGTCCACCACTGTCCACTCTCATTGCCTCTTTTCTGGATGCTTTGACTGCTGAGAGAGCTTGAGCCTTGCTTTCTCTCCTTCTGGTGGCAGCTTCATCCATTTTGCCAGGGGCGGGGATGCTCAGGGTCTTAGTGAACTCATGATGAGAGAACAGCTTCAGCTAAGCCACACATCCTATTGTCCCTGGTCTGAGTAAGAGAGTCCCTGCTTTTATAACAAGACCTTTCTCTGTGACTTCCTTTTGTAGGACCTCGAGGGCCTCCTCCAGCAGGTAATAATATTTCAGCCTTTATCTGAAAGGGGCATGGTTGTGTGCGTGCAAGGAAAGGGCATGAGATGTTGTACCTGACAGAGTCCTGATTCATAGCCTGTCTCTGCTGTGGGGTTGAGAGTGTCATAATCAGTGTCTATACAACACTCCAGAGGTTGTCCCCAAGCAAAACTTTGCCACCATCACTTGAGTGGTGTCTTGAGTGGAGCCTGAGCCATGCCTTGAGTTTAGGCACTAAGATGTTGCCTGCTTTGTGCCCCACACTGGAGACTGATATTGATAGCGGCAGAGACCAAAAGTCCTGCAGAGGAGACAATCCCTCCAACTTACCAAAAAGATCAGATCCTTCATGTATTCTGGGGGTAATGGCTTCTCTTCTACCTCCCATATGTTTGTGTCCTGTGAGCTCTGTGCCCCCTTTAGCTGTTTTCAGCTCTGCAGAGTTGATGGGAAGATGATGCCATGGCCTGGACACAGCTTTCTTTGTCTAACTCAACAGAATCCAGGAGGAGAGTCAGGCATCTCCAGGGGACCTTTTGTGACCACTCCCTTTATCTGTCTTCGCAGGGCTTCTACAGTGATTCCTGGTGTTCTGGCTGAGTTGACTGTCACACTATAAAGCTTGTCCCTGTCCTCAGTTCCTGTCTGTGCCAGCCTGCCTGTCCCTCTCTGATTCAGAGTCTAGCATGGTTCCAGTATACCCACCAGTTCAGCCTTTGTGATCCCTGACTCCCCAAGGCTCTGTCTTTGCCTCTGCTCCTGGACTGATTCTAGAGACTCTATCTGTATACTGCAGCACCATCTACCCAGACCCCAGGCCTTCTGTTTCCACTGTCCCATGGGGCTGCTGAAGAGATGTTGAAAACATTCACCTTTTTCATAATTAAACATGTTCTGAATTATGTATCCTGAATCTCCTTAACTGACGGGGCTGAGTGGGAGTGATGCGGGGCAAGGTGGCCCAGCCAAATTGTGGCTGGAAGTGGTGGCTTCTATCATGAAGGTGATGGGAAACATCCTGGGCTCCATGTAAGGGTGGGCTGAGGAGACAGACACCTGCTGTCATATCTTCATAGTTGGTTCTTTTGCTCTTCAGTGTCCTGTTCTCACACCACCACAGCCTCCTTCATGTTGGTGAGGACAGTGCAACTAAACCTGGTGGAATTGTTGGGGATGGATGCTGTGACCTGTTGTAATAGGAGCAGCGGGGCTGCGTCCCCAACACCCCAGCTGCTTGGCTAGCTCATGCCCGAAATAACAACACACAAACTGTGTTCATTTAAGAACTGCTTGACCCATGAACTCTAGCCCTTACAGGCTAATTCTCGCACCTGGACTAGCCCATTTCTAATGATGTGTGTAAGCACCCCAAGGTGCGCTTACCGGGAAGATTCTAGCCTACATCCATCCTGGGTCGGAGTTGCCTGGGAGAGCTGAGCATGGCGTCTCTGCTCCAGAGAGCAGAGCTGTTGGGTCTCTCCGGAAGCAGAACAGAGTCTGACCTCACTTCCTCTTCCTCCCAGAATTCTATTTTGTTTACTCCTCCCACCTATGCTTTAACCTATCAGGGCCAGCCAAGCAGTTTCTTTATTGCTCAGCCAATGAAATCAACAGATTGATATGACACTCCCACATCAGTGACCTCTCATCACTGTTATTCCAAATGTGTCCTGTGAAGTCACACTGGTTAAAGCACACTTTCATTTTTTAGAGATTAAAATATTTTTGTGGTTGCAAATGATAACCACCCAACTTAACCCTATTGTGTTGATGTTGTAAGGAGGCGGGGTGTTGTTGGTCAGCAGTGACTGGGTACCTGTGACTGATGAAAGTCGTCTCTCCTCGGTGTCACCGCCATCTGCCCTATCTTCACTGCATCTCCTGGTCCCTGTGTCCCTGTGTCTCTCCATCTCTGTCTCTTGTTCCTCCTGCCTGTCTCACTGAACAGAGCCTTCTCTCTCCATTTTTCTCTGTCTACACCTTGGTCATGTGTCCTTTTCTCTGTGTTTCTTTTGCATCTCTTTCTATATCTCTCCTATTACCTCACATCTTACCTCCCTTTCTGTGTGTATTTCTGACTTTGTTGTCTATATACCAATGTTTTGACAATTTTAGGGAAATCCTTACTGACCAATCCTAGGTGACATATAAAACACTGAAAAACACTATCATCTCTACAAGGATGTGAACAGGTGGTATTGTGTTCATCTCTCTTGTTAGAGAAATGAATTTCCAGGGCCTCCGCATGGAGGTGGTTGCATCAGCCTCATGGGGCACCTGGATCTCCAGATCCACTCAAAGCAGGGATAAGGGGTGGCTTGGTTTTGGTAGGCTTGAGACATTTTATGTTGATGGTCAATTTGGAGACACATCTCTGGACATATTTGTGAGAGGCTTTCTAGATTAGATTGAGGTGGGAAGACCTTAAAGGGGCTGAGGTTCCCAACAGGAAAAACAAAGACAAGAGGGGCATGGACATTCACTTTTCTCTGATTCCTAATGTTGGACCCTGAAGTCCAACTACCAGGAGTAGTTGCTCCAAGAGACCATCTCTCACACCACAGTTGATGTAAAAGCATGATTATTAATTTATTAATTCTGTCATGACAGAGTCTTTCAGCATTTGAGAAGCCACAAAGACCCCAAATGGCTGGTACAGGCTACTTTTAAAGTAAAAAGCCACAGAAAAAAAAGAGGGAGTCTAGGGGTTGTTCTTTAACTATTATGATTGGCTTATTCAAAGGGCAATTACCAATAATTGGCTGGAGAGTGGTTGCCAGATCAGAAGAGGTAAAAGGAAACATCTGAGGGTCACTTTGCCCCTCTCCCAGGGACTGAGTCAAAACATCTGTGGGTTATCTTGTCCCAGAGCTCTACTTGGAGAACACTCACAAGGACTCAGGGAGATGGAAAGTTCCCAACATTTCAGTATGTGCATGCATAGCTGTTAGGTCCTTGATTCCCAGGGGAGGGGGGCAGCACTAAGGCATGGAGGCTGAGAGGGTTCAGAAATGGCCTCAGAATTGTCAGAGATGGCTTGAGAGTTATCCCAGAGTTTTACACTGACAGTGGATGAGCTGTGACTTCCCATCCTCCTACTGGCCTTCCCCAACAAATGAGCTGACCCCTGTTGCTCCTTGACAGGTGTTTTGGCAGAATCATGAGAAAGGTAACTAATGTAAAACCCAACAGAACAAGTGGCCCAGGTATGTGTGGTTCTTGGTGCCCTCAGTGGAGGTGCCAGCTCGCAGGTATGCCATCATTACACAGGTACATGGTGTCATCGCATTGCTGAAATTCTTAGTGTTGGAGTTCCTATAACCTGTGAACATTGTGACCTATTGATCCTAGTGCCATTCTCTACCTGGTTACTAGGACAGTCACCACACATGGTGGCCTCTTTGATTGGTTTCAGTCCTGAGAGCTGCAGTCCATCTTCAGCTCCGCTCCCCTCCCATCGCTTTGGAGCCTGCCCTGGAACTCACTCTGTATACCAGGCTGGCCTCCAACTCACAGAGATCCACCTGCTCTGCCTCCCCATGCTGGGACTGAAGGTGTCCACTGCCACCATCACCACCCAGACAGTTCTCCTTTCTTAAACACTGGTGACCCTGTCTCTGAGATCATGGGAGACCACGCCTCAAAGGAGCACACCCTCATCCACACACTTCTTGTGAAGGATGTCAACAGGATTCTCATCCTCTGGACCAGGTCAGAATCGGGTATCTTCTGAGATCCAGGCTGCAACACAGGCCATCAGCCAGGGGTACTATTGGGTGTGTAGACTGCACTTGGGGTTCTGCTACCCAAGGTTGTAGTCTGAGTTTTTTCAGAGCAAGATGTGTACACACACAGCCCACAGAAGCTAGAAGAGGGCACCAAGATCCCTGGAACTGTAGTTACAATGATTGTGAGCCACCACGTGGGTGCTGGAAACCTAACTCAGGTCCCTGAAAGAGCAGTCACTGCTCTCCAGTCCCCAGCTAGAAGTCTTGCAGTCGTCCTCATTGATCATTGGTGCTTACATCACAGAACACAGTGGGTGCTGTCCTCTTTACCAAACTGGCTAAAGGACCACTTTCCTCTTGGGGGAATGGGAACAATTTGTGCTGTATTTTCCACAGAGCCCCAGTTCCTACAGAGAGAACATTGCTTTGATCTTGTAGATGAAGGAATTATGATTGGGAGTAATCTGAGTTTAGGGACAAAGATTTGCATTTTCTAATTGAAACACACGCAAAAAAAAAAGGAGTAGTAGATTCATTCTAAGACGTGCTTACAGTCCAGTACTATCACACTGGAAGATCCTTATTGTTGGGTCCTGAGAATTGTATAGGACCAGTAGTTATTATTGGGCAGTATACTATTTAACCGATAGTTTAATAAGTAGCAAGTGTAACATTTACAAATGAATTTGCTAAGAACAAGAACCAAGTCTTAGTAGGCACATAACTTGGAGGACAGTGTGCAGGTGACTAGAAAACAATGACTGCTCAGTTTTGAGCATTTAGTATTGAAGAACATCAGTGTGAAGTTGGGCATGGTGATGCATGCCTTCAATCTTAGGAGGCAAAGGCAGGGGGATGTCTGTGAGTTAGAGGCCAGCCTGGTCTATACAGAGAGTCCCAAGAAAGCCAGAGCTACACAGAGAGACTCTGTCTCAAGCAAGCAAACAAACAAATATTAATGTCCTTTTGAACAGTGATGATCATCAATATTATATAAATATCTGCAAAAATTCCTAGGCTTCTCTGCTATTAAGTAGAAGTCAGGTGACTAGAACCAGCCAATGGGGCACAAGGGGGTGTATGTAGTATATCTGACTTGTCTCCTGCTGCCATGGATGTGGCGTCATCACTGTGGGGATGGTGTGTGGAATGTTAGAAGCTCCAGAGCCTAAGGCTCCTGAATGAACTAAGTATTCTTTACTGAATTAAGATATGAAAATTTACTCATTATTGTGAGCTAAGAATTACTGAAGAATGACTTTGTCCTTCTTGATTATTGTGGAATATTTTGCTTGTGGAGGAGAGTTAAGTTGAGTCTACTGAGTTAATGTTGCCCATAACCTCACATGCCTAATATTTTGTGTATTGTGGGAACATAAATTTGCCCTTACCATAATTTTCAAACATACAGTACACTGTTGATGGTAGACAGCATGGTGCATAATAGATTTCTAGAAATCACCTTTTGTTCTAACTGAAACTTTACAACTTTGACCCACATCTCTCCTTTCCTCCTCCTCCCTCTGTTTCCACCCTCTTCCCTGGGAACCACATTATACATTCTATAGCTTTGACTGTTAGTTTTTAAAATTCCATGTGTGAGCTCATGCAGTAGTTTTTCTTTTTTTTAATATTTATTTATTTATTTATTTATTTATTTATTTATTTATTATGTATA